TCCTACTACTATCTACTCAATGCTAACATGCAATTCTCATAAAGTTGAAACACACATAACAGGCACATAAGGCATCCTCCTAGATCCTTAGTCCTATTCTAGCATGCTGTTCTACTGAAACTAAAACTGATAATCATAACATAAACTTGTATGGGTAAATTGGGAGTACTTACTTGAGCTCGGCTGATCGCATGCACCACACCTTTTTCTTTGCCTTCTTCAAAAACTCTTTTCTTTTTAGTTTTTTTTTTCAAAAGTTTCTTTCGAAAATGTTTTTCTTTTGAAAACCTTATACCAATTCCTTAGTTTGAGTTCAGACACACCTGAGAGCGTGCCTGAATCCCTCAAAACAAGGCTCTGATACCAACTTGAAACATCCCAAAAATACAACCCAAAATTTTTATTATTTTATTATTTATTATTTTTTAGGTTTAAACATTACTAAACCCATGAAGTTAATCATCATATAATAAAACAACGAATCACATGTCTCAAATGTAAAAGTGAATGTATCAAATCAACTGATGCCAAAACATATCAAAACATCCGAATAAAAACTCCCAGGATAAACTGAAGCTGTGGTGTGTGCCATTCCATCAACCTGAGCTCTTCCCTTTACTTGCGTAAGTACCTGAAACCAAAAACTAAAACTGTAAGCACAAAACTTAGTGAGCTCCCTCAATCTACCACATACCATGCAATAATATATAAAGCAACTACTATGCCTTGCCTACTGCATCGGATCGAAGTCCGGAAACTGCATCGGATCGAAGTCTAGAACTAACCAGGGCCTTGTCCTCTGCATCTGACCGAAATCCGGAAACTGCATCGGCCTGCAGTTCGGAACGAACCAGGGCCTTACCCTCTACATCGAACTGAAGTTTGGAAACTGACTGAACATAGCATGACATAACATATCTACTAGCATAAACACATATAAGGCATACTGTCCGGAACACATAATACAAAGACATGGTTGAATCACAAAGACATCAAGCATAATAAGCTACTTCATCAGACCAAAGTCTGGAACTACTGCTAACTATACGGGTCGACATTGTGGTCGTAGACCCGTTCCTACTGGAAGGAAAACTCACCTCGTTACGCTAGCTGTTGAGATGCTAAATCTGAAACTGACTGATTGTTGCTCCGGAACTCCCCGACTACAAATTCCATAGATACTAAATCAGATACTGATAACTGTTCTTAGGGTAAAATGACTAATTTACCCCTGGTCAAAATCAACCTCCTGGTCAAAGTCGACTTTCATTCGACCGGACTCGGTGAGTTGGGTCGCCAACTCGCCGAGTCCCTAACACCTTTTCTAATCCTTTACTCGCTTCAACTCGTAGAGTTTGGCAATAACTCGACGAGTTCTTCTTCCAAGTTAACGTCGAATCTAACTTCATCCGACTCGCCGAGTTGTATGAACAACTCGTCGAGTTCTCCTTCATCATATGAACACGTCCAGGCTGTGACTCGCCGAGTTGTATGAACAACTCTTCGAGTCTGTTCTTGAGGCAAGAAGATTGTCTTGGACTCACCGAGTCTCCTGCATGCCACTACTATACAGTCGCTTCTAGTCGGTCTCAGTGCATCCAATTCATAGATCTGGGCTTCTAGGATTGGTTTTGCACGTAAAGTTTCCAACTTTACGTGCATGCACACGTGAATAGGGCTAAAACACCAAAATCATCCAACACTAAGCACTTAGGGTTTGGAACAAGGCTATATTTGCATAAAGGTAGCCATATTGAGTTTCTAGAGCTCAATAACATCCAGATCTATGGTCTCCATCCTAAGAAGAGCTCAAATCTCAAGTTTGAATCACATACGGCTCCAAAAGAGACATAAACAAGCAATAAAGAGGGTTTAATGGAAGAATAAGCAAGGTAATAACTTTATTACCAGGATACGAAGCAGATGGAAGCTCGTTCTTGGATCTCCTTCCTCTTCTATTGATCCTTTTTTCTTCCTTCTCTTCTACGACTCCCAAGCTATCACAAAACACTCAAGCTCAACAATGGAGACTAGGGTTTTATAGAGAAATGCTTTAAAGGTGCTGAGGGCTGGGGTGAGAGGCTATAATGACGTTTAAATAGGGTGAAAACCTTGGGATTTAGGGTTTCATCCAGACTAGCGGACTCGCCGAGTCCGGGATACAGACTCGTCGAGTCGCCTACTGAAGTCGCGTGAAATCCCACCTTTACTCGACGAGTTGTGCTACTGGCTCGTCGAGTACCTCTTAAGAAAGGAAAAATACTTTATTTAAATTACATACCAGAAATGGGGCATTACACTTTAATTAATTGGAAATATTTATTTTTATGATTATTACTTTAATTAACGTTAACATATACAAACACTAGGTGTGAGGCCCATATGTTATACACAATGTTTTGAAAACCGGATCGAACATTGAACCGATCGTCTTACTGGGTTGATAGTTCAAGTGGTTCGACCGGTTGAACCGGGCTCAAAAACCGGATGAACCGGACGAGGATATATATATATATATATATATATATATATATATATATATATATATATATATATATATATATATAATATCATGAATTTTAAACTTTTAAAATAAACAACAAAAACCAAGTTCTAATAATTTATATTTGAGTTTTTTAAAATATATTATGAAGATAAAGTAAAAACTAAAGAAAAAAATATTAGGTAATTTTGAAACATTTGAACAAAAAATTAAAAGAACTATAGGTAGTCATTTGAAAGTGAGAGATGAAGCCAAGTGATTCTTTAGGCTATATATCCCACATCCTTAAATACATAATTTGGAAGCCTTGAAAGCTTTATAAAAGGGATGGAGGCTAAATGTCTAAATGGTTCATGGACCTCCCATAAAAGGCGTGTTCTATTTGTTTTTTTCAAGTATAATTTTTTTTTCCGAGGCGGATTTTCTCCGGTTTGATTAGTCCGGTTCGCTACTGGTTTTTGGTTGAACCAGTGGTTTGCTTTTAGACGGTTTTTTTGTCCTAAAGAACCGGTTGCCTTACCGGTTCCCGGTTCAACCGGCCAGTCCGGTCCAGTTTTGAAAATAGTGGTTATACGGGTTTATTAAAAATAAAAACTTAATATCAATATATAAACATTAAATATTTTATAAAGTAATTGAAAAAAAATGGAATCAATATGTTTGTAACATTTATTTGAATTTATTCTTAAATTAATATAATTAATATAATGATAACTTTACATGAATATAATGAGAATATTTCATATATAGCAGTAAATTCTAGGAATTTAATATAAGAAAATCTGAAACCCCACAAAATGACAAGTGAAAAATTAAAAAAAAAAAAAAAAACAGGAAAAAACCATGTGGCAAAATGAAAGAGAAAAAAAAAACAAAATGATTTCCATTTATTAGGTTAGATTATCCCATTTTATATATTGTATTACATATTATGTATTACAGATTATCTACTTATAATTTTTTAATATCATTATTATAATTTATCCTCTAAACATGAGTGGACAAACAATACGGCTTTTAAAGTTCCACATAGTGTAGTAAAAGATAACACTCAGTCTAGTCAGGATTTAATTTGTGCAATTACATATTCCATATATTCAATAATCATATACCATATATCTTTCTTAATACTTATTATTAAACAAGCAGATGCTACTGGAAAGGATTTACTGGCAAATGTAAAAGTGAACGAAGGGATCTGGAAGCTCTTAATGCACTCTTTTGGAAATTCCCACGTTTAAGAGCCACAGAATCTGCAACTTTGAGCATCCCATATTTATTGATATCCATCAGAATTGGATAAAAAGCAACTCAAGAAGCTGGATTAAATGAACTATATCTTCCCAGTCAACTCTTGTCAGCATGAAAACCATCCATATTTGCAGCCCTTTTTCAACATGTGATTTTAGGTCTTTGGAAACAATATGGAGATTCTTGTGTGAATAATAGCAACAACAAATACATGCAACATGGAATAGTATTGTACTTTTGTTTCTTTGCATCTTACTTCCATTTCTTTTAGTATAGACAGAACAATGAAAGTATATTGCTAATTCCACACATGGTATCACACTCACCATTAAATTACATTGTTATTTCCACACACACATACACCATGAAAGCATATTGTTAATTCAAAGAACAATACTCTATTAAGAAAGTTTTTGAAAGTACCTCATTGTAATAAAAAGAAATGAAAATAGAATGCTTTAATAATAATATATAGAATGTGCATTGCTATTTTTGCATATTATAATGGCTTTACCGAAAAATGATAAAACAATTTATGGTTTAAGTGGAAATTCCGGTTTTAGCATCCTATCTTCATTTTCTCCTATTGCAATAAGCCAAGTGCAACTATGAAATGAGAGTGTGACGCTATAAACACTGGAATAGATCGAAGTATATATATGCAAGAAATAGTAATTTATTTCAACATACTTGTTGACCTGTATCAAGTTTGGAGCATAGATCTGCGAATTTCTTTTATCATCTCTATTATTCCATGCATCTGTAACAATAGTAAATATTAAAAAAAAATTGAGACAAATGTTGAACATCATAAGAAATTTGAATTCATGTCTTTGATAACATGTTATGAAAGGATCGTAGAAAATATGTAGTATGGGGACATGAAATTATTAGAGTAAATTAAATGATTAAAACCATATGTTAGCTGAATATGAAAAACAAATGCGAAAAAAAAAATATTTATTTAAAAAATTTGAATATTTTTACAAAAAAATAATAATTAAAAAAGTTATCTTCTATAATGTTAAAATAGATAAAATATGCAGAATATTTATAATTATTCTAAAATAGGTGTAAATATTATGAAATATTTACATATATTATAGAATATTACACATATTTTATATATTTTAACATAAAGGACAATGATTTTTTTTTCATTTATACAAATTGAATAAAAAGAGTTTTGAAAATTCTATTTAAATATGTTTTTTTTTTTTTTATTATTATTATTTGACACCCAGAAATGTATGAAGGACAACTCTTAGGAACAGCAAAGTTACGAAGAGGTTGTCAGAAATGGTCCCTTGATTATAGTTTATATTGCATTTTGGGTTTGGTTTTGGTATACGGGTGTATTATGGAATTAATTGTATTGTCTGTACACGTGTTTGCTCATGGTTGCGTGTGACTGTATCTCATGTTTCTCTTTCTCTCCTGTTTCTTTTTTGTTCCAGATCGCTCCATCGCCTAATACACGACGATTCTTCTCTACTTTTCTTCTTCATCTCAGGCTTCATAGATTCGGGGTTGTCATCGCCAAAGGTTCCGGTTCACGCCTTCTACATCTGTCGTTGTTCCTTTTTAATTAAACAGGCGATGCTTTCTTGAGTCTCGACTGCCTCCTCTACCGGTGTAATCTTAGAACCGACGATCTCATCGTCGATGAAGTCAATCTCGCAATTCAAGTTTTTCTCGTTGTTAATCAGCACCTGCTCCATCGCGTGTGCACCATCTCTTTACCTCCATCGCCTCACATGGCTTTCGATTGCAGATCATTTATGAAGACACACAGGGTGAAAATCGATTCCCACGGAGTTCTCCATGTTCCTCCGGTCTACACGTAAGCCCTAATTTTTTGTTTTTGGAATTGATCCAAAATCATAGGTTCCTTGGCTTAATGGCTTCGTTCTTTTTATTTTCAGCTTCTCGATCCGAAAACGGAAAGTATTTCGTCAAACATTTCATCAGAGTCAAAGCACAAGAGAAATGAAAACACATATCAAGTTTGTTTTTGTATGCCCAATCAGTCGACATTCATCTTTCTCCTGCAATCTTGAATCTTTCTTCAATTTTTGGTGATTCTTCAACATGAAGCCACCCCCACTTCCGATTGCTTTCGTTTTCTTTGTCGGCATCGACACAGGTGCAAAACATGTTCTTCCTTCCGTTCTTTTTCAACATGGTAGCTTGTATGAATCTCGTTCTATATATAATCTCTTAACCATGTTACCAATTGTAGGCGATAATTATCTAAAATATGTAACTTTTTCTTATTATCGTATAAAAAGACTAAACTGCCCCTAATACGATTTCATTTTTGGTCCCTGTGTGTTACGTGTGTACATTTCTTTAATACCACACACTGTATTTTCGATTGCAGTATCATATGCCACATGTTTAAGATGTTAAACTTAAGATTTAAATTTTTTTGGTCTAATGAGCGTGTATTGTCCAGCATCTGTACTATTTGCCCTAATTTTTGTTGGTTGACAGTTATTTTAAAACATTTTTGTGTTGTTTTTTTTTATGGATTTGAGTTCATGTTCCATATCTATTATGTCAGATACAATTCTTAGGGTAAGAATTTACTCAAGAATCAACGACATGAATGATGCAGTCTCATCTATCCAACTGCTTTTAGACGTTTCTCAGAAGATTGGATTCCAAGAAAGCCAATACTGCTTCCAACTGGATTCAATGTTAACAACCCCTCAATCGTCTCTGGTCAATTGATTGCTTACCCATAAAGTATAATCTTTATTCCTGAAAATTCAGATTGTCTTTTTCCTCTTTCTGATTCTACTGTGTGTATGTCTATCTTTGAATCTAACATCTCTACATCTACTACATATGTTTTTTGCTATTCTCTTTTGGGTATGTCAACAGTTTTCATGAATTTTGTGTTATCCGATGATCATTGTTGATGGTGTATCGATTGATCACATGTTTGTTTATCATGATGTGCCTTGGGTTTAATAGGAGTTAATTGTTGTTGAGGTTACATGCTTTGAAAGTTTAATGGTATGATGGATTGATCTATAAAGAGGATGTAGGATAGCAATTTATATTTTTTTTAATATATTAAAGTCTTATACCAAATACTTTATCAGTTATAAATGAGATTTGACGTCTAACACGTAAATTAATAATGCAGTGAACTGGTTAGAAGCTGAAATCTTTTAGGGCTGCAAGGAGTGATGATGCCTGATCAGAAGGTTAATGTATAACATCTAACTGAGAATGGTGCTGAAGTTGAAGTATAAATAAGAATATTAAATAATAAAAGAATGATTTCAATTTCAACAATATTAATGTTAATCGAGTATGGTGCTGAAGTTGACGTATATCTCCTCTGAAGCTGTGGAATTTTTTTAGTTAGAAAAAAGAACTATAAAAAACCATAGTTGTTGGTTAAAGATAAAACTGAGTTTGAATGTTTTTCTATAGAAGGACCAATTATGTAAACATTTTTTGTAGCAAAGACCATTTTGCAATGTTTTTATGCTAGAGAGAGAAATTCGGTAATCTTTCTTTGCCATAGTTGTCATTTGTGTGATTTTTTTCTATACATGGACTATTTGTGTAATATTTTTATGAATACGGACCATTTTTGGTAATATTTTTCTACAAAGGGACCATTTTGGTAATGTTTTTCTGTCATAGGTACCAACTATGTAATTTTTTTTATTTTTTTTTTATTTTTTTTATTTTTTTTTTTTATCAAAAGTGACTATTATATAAAATAATTTGTGCACAAGGATCAATTAAGTAATCAATTTCTGCTTACATTTCCATTCATCCGATTGATGACAAATTATACATAATAGCAACATATTTTAATTTGGATACCAATTTATGCAATGTACTTCCTTATTTGTCTCACAAAAGGAACACATTCCACCCCGTGCAACGCGCAGGTAACCCCTCTAGTTAATATTTTAAAAAAACAAGTTTTAAAAGAAAATTACATTTTTGATTCATATTCATATCTTTTTTATTCATATGTACCTGCTTGTGATCGCACCTACGACACAAAACTTCACAATTCTAGAACCTCCTTGAGTAACAACAACTGACTCGAATAAACGAATATGTGATTGACGATGTCGTGGCAAACAAGCTATCACGTTGTGGGAACTGGACTTCGTCTATTCTAGGGTTTTCCTTAGGGTTCTGAACTTTGGAGGCAGAGAGATATTTTTCAAATGTGCCAAAACCATATATTGACCCCTCTTTATATAGGAAGGTGATTTGAAATCCTAAGTATAATTACTAAATATAATTGTAATTATCTTGACTTTACAAACCATTATAAAATATTCCGAATTCATTTATTTTCTATTAATTAATTAATTTATTAACTAATTAACGAAACAAGTCCCTAATATAAATACTTTTCAGACTTGTTTTATTTTTCTCTTGCATGTAACTCAAAAGGACATTGCTATTTATAGTAATATTAACTGTTTGTTATGGCTATGGGCACTAATATCCACCATACCAATGCTTGGATAATCAAAGAGTGAACTTTTCAATAAGCATTATTAAGGAATATTCACTCGACTGGTGGTTGGTACTCAAGGAAAGTGTGAAGCTAAGTGTATCAATTTTTGGAAAGTATGAAACAAAGATTTTGTACGAAAGAAGAGACCCGTGAGCTTGAATAAAAAAATTCATGGATTTGAAGTAATAGAAGATGATCATAATGGAATCCAATACAAAATTTCATAAAATTTTAAGCTTTTCTATGAGAATGGTACCCCTTGAAGAAACCAAGATTGATTAATACAAGCTTGGATTACCATGGAACTATAATTTGAATTTTAGGAACTTAACTACATTGGATTGTGCAATGAGGAAGGAAAGGGCAACTAAAAATACATTTAGGGAAAGAAAAAAAAAAAGACAAGGGAGCCAAAGTAACAACAGGAGATATAAAGGTTGAAAAAAGAGTAAAGAAACATTAATCACAAGAAGAATAGAATTATTCGGAAGAGCAAAACTTAGGATAGTCAAGTAGGGACAAGGAAGCATTTAACATGTAAAGAGCATCCTGCTAATCAATGTGTCAAAGGAGTGAAATGTTTTAACTATAATAGTTACAGACATTATGTAAATCAATGTAACAAAATTTTGAAAAAAAGGTTATTTTAAGTTACTCTTGAAACGCCCATCTTTTGGTGTTTAAGTTTAAAATCAATTTAAATGAAATTTTAAATTCTTTGAACTTCATTTGCGAAAAATGGTCCCAAAATACATTTAGTTTAACAAAATAGTTTAAGTTTCAAAAGGTTGTAGAGGAAAATTTAAATATCATTACATAAGACACTACCACCACATCACAATGGCCTTCAAAATATCTCGCATCCTCTAATAGTTAATCGCTACTAGAAGATGAATGTTTGTTAAAAAGTAGGTTAGGCATTGGAAATTCCTAGTGAGTAATATGGGGACTTTACTAAATGTTTATTCATAAATCAGCTCAATCCTTGACCTATGAAGAATTTTCCAAAAACTATTTTAAAACATTTAAATCTTAATCTTTAAAACTCTTGATAACACATTTGAATCTTTGAAAAATCAATACTCTTAACCCTTTAAAGTATTCATCATAAACAAATATTCAATTTCTTCATTATAAAAAGAATACAATGCATTATGCAACTACACCCATTCCACTTTCCTCTCTTTGTCCTGATCAATGTTCTAATGTTGATACCTATGAAGCTTATGAAATTGTTAAAACATAGCACCTTATGTCACGACTTCTCATCATTACCCTTTATGGGTACAGGTGGGCTATCATTCCATTGGTCATGTACATGAAGTATCTAACCTCTTGTACAAGTGGGCATGTATAGAATACCACAATACACATTAAGTCACATTAACACTATTTTCCATGGACTTTAGAGAGACACATATTAGTCATTTCCCATCTTACATGAATGCATATGAATTTATGTAAAAACACCTTTCAAGACATCTTAATCCTTTCTCTTTATGAAATCATTTTCATGAAATGCACAAGTAATTTCACATAGGTAATGCATAGCAAGTAAACTAAAAATCGTTAGCTCAACTTCATTATAAGAATATCCAAGTCTTGTTGTTTTGGAACAAGTATTCAATACTACTTACCTTTAATGAAATGTAAGCTATTCTCCTCTTATTTAACTTTGTACACATTTTAAGCACTGCCTATTTACATTAATAACAAATTCTTATAAAATGACTAAAATATACCTAGATGGTTCTTGACACATTTAACGCTTTCCAATAGCTTATTTTCATCCTAAAAGCTTATATTTAAAATTTGGGAGTAATTGGAGGTCGAATACTAGCTAAATCAAAAAATTTAACTTTTCATCACATAGCATTTAACACGACCGTATCGCACCACACTACATCTTTTACATGATCATGTATTGAGTGCATGTCTCCTAAAATGTAGGTTTTCTCTAATAAGATATGTACTTTGCACTAGTAATGTAACATCCCGACCCAGGTATAAAATTTAAAGTTATAGTCATGTTCTTAGACCTACCCGACGAGTTGGATGCCCCAACTTGTCGTGTAGAAACGATTCAGACCGCGCACATTTAAGGGGTCTACTTGACGAGTTGGAGGACCCAAACTTGACGAGTAGGATCTGGATAATGAAACCTTAATTTCCAGGGTTTTGCACCCTATTTAAAGGGTCATTAGCCTCCCTTAGCCTCCCTTACCATCCCTCTTGAGCTCAGAAAACCCTAATCTCGCCTACTCTCCATTTTTGTGTGCAAAAAAGCTTGGAAGGTGGATTTTGTGAAAAGGCTTGAAGTCTAAAGAGCTTGGGGGCAAATAGAAGCTTGTGGATCTGACTCTACTTCATATTGGCATCATTTTGAAGGTAACAAGTCGTTACCTTGACTTATCTTTAGCTAGATCTCTTCATGTAAAGGTTTAGGGCCATTTTCTAGTTGGTTGTGGGTTATTTTGGGTATTGGGCATGATCTAAAGTTGTAACTTCAGATTTGGACTCCTCTAAGTCCCTATAGTCATAAAGTTATTAGATTTAGCAAGCATGGGCCCTTCTCTTTGGTTTAAACCTTTCCCTTAGCTTGGTTTTGGCATTTAGGACCTTGTATCTATGTAAAGTTTACAACTTTATGTGGAAACCATGCCCTAGGAGGTTAGATCTGCAGTTCGGAGCTTTGGGGTAGCTTAAAAACGCTTGAATGAGAAATGGACTGAAGGGACTCGATGACTTGCATGGTCAACTCGACGAGTCGGATGAAGATTGTGATGGGTTTTAGACAAACAATCCTATGTGTTCATGCAACCCTAGATTTGGATCTATGTTTTCACTATTAGATATACAACTTTATGAACAGATGAATAAAACCCTAAAGTATGTTTCTAATTTCGAAATTCATATATACGGTTAGATTACATACCTCTTATTGTTATATTGTAATAACAAACTTAAATCTTCAAACCTTAAGTCTTGAAAGCAAGCACCACAAGTGAGCCTCTAATGGCTCACAAACACCACAAGCAATTGGAGAGGCTATAGAGAGAGAAGAGGAGAGGTAGAAATCGGCCTAGGGATCTCTAGGGAATAGGTCGGACGATTTCTCAAGGCCTAGGGATCTTTATATAGGGTTAGGATTAGGGTTTCAGTCCTTATCCTTATCTAGTTACTTGTCCACCAAGCAACCATAAGATAAGCCTTGAAAAGCCCTTATCCCTTGGACCTTGGACGATTTTAAGGATATCATTATCCTTGAATTCATCCACCCTTTAACAATGATAATCATTGCCCTGCTTTCCAACTATCACATAATTATAATTCAGCCCCTCTAGTTTAATTAATTACACTTGATCACAAAATTAATTCCTAATTAATTATTGACCAATATTAATTAAACAAATATTATTTCTCCTTTAATATATTATTCTTATAACATATTAATAAATCATAATAACCTCTTTCTCTATTTATTTGTAACGACCCAAATTTTCAAATAAATTTAAACTTTTCAAAAACAACCCAATTCATTAAGTTATTACAAAAAGGTTTTCAATAAATTTATTATCAGAGTATTCCCAGGTCCATTTCATAAAACATAAACACGAGGAGCGGTACGATCACGCCTTTGCCTTGCCACAGTCTTACGAAGAATCTGAAAAACATTAAACCACAACTATAAGCCCCAAAGCTTAGTGAGATACCCCCAAAATACCAACCACATATAACATACACATAACAAACT